AAGGGAATCGCCAAGTCTGTGACAGTCATCCTGGAATTTCGCTGGCAAAATCTTCGCTCGGGTTCTCCTGAACCGTCTCAACAAGCACCTGGAACAAGAACTCCTGCCGGAGATCCAATGTTGTTTTCGCCGTCATCGTGGAACCACAGACATAATCTTTGCTGCTCGCCAATTGCAGGAAAAGTGCCAGAAGATGCGCACCCACCTGAACACCTCTCTCGTGGATCTAACGAAAGCCTTTGACACGATCAATCGCGATGAACTTTGGAAAGTCATGCAAAAGTTCGGCTCTCTGGAGCTCTTCACTCAATTGGTACGCCAGCACAGCGACCGGATGAAGGCGCGCGTCACGGACAACGGACTCGTTTCCGAAGCTTTTGCACTGATCAGTATAGTGAAGCAGGGCTGTGTCCTCGCGCCTACCCTCTTCACTCTCATGTTCTCTGCCGTGCTGACGGACAAGCGTCCCGGGATGCGCTTCAACTACAGAACGCACGGACAATTTTCCATGCTCACTCCTACGCGCGTGTTAATGACCACAGTTCATGACATGCTGTTCGCGACCGACTGCGCTCTCAAAAAACAGCCGAAGCGGACATGCAAAGCAGTATGGACCTCTTCACCGCAGGTTGCGCAAACTTCGGTCTAACTATCCACACGGACAAACGGTGGTCATGCACCAACCGCCGCCGGATGCTGACCACAATGCTCCACACATCAACGTCAACGGCACTGAGTTCAAGAACGTGAACAACATTGCCTATCTCGGCAGCACGCTATCCCGCAACATCCGAATCGACGACGAGGTCGCTCGACGGATTTCCAATGCCAGTCAAGCCTTCGGCAGGCTTGGAGTCTCTGTATGGAATCGTCACGGTCTTCAGCTGTCAACGAAACTGACTATCTTTAGTGTAAATACAAGCTCTATTGAAATAAATGGAGTAGTATTTTGCTAGAAGAGATTCTTCGGAAAAAAGGAACGAAATTTATTGTAGATTTTCGACACTGGCACACCAGGTTGTCTTCGGACGCGAGGGAATTGTGTGAAGAGCAGCAGTATGCTTGTTCGTAGTCACTTATGTTAGGCAAGTATTTGAGAGTTTTGATTGGCCTTTAACAGATAATTATCCAGACGTCTCGTGAACACGATCACAGTGGGTGAATATACAAGAGACTCTGGCGAGGAGTTCCACTGTCGAATGACCCTTTGAGAGAGAAAGGATGAACGTTGGTTTGTGCGACAAGCCTGTCTTCTGAGGTTCCTTCTTGGGACCGTTTGATAGAAATCCTCCCAATTGACATCCAGGCCATTTCCCTTTAGTAACTGAGACGTTGCTGTAAGGATACCTCTGTCTTGTCTATAATGGAGGGGAGAGAGATTTAAAGCAGTCAAACGCTGATTGGATGTGAACTGATTTAGTTCAAAGACTGCCTTAGTAGCACGTCGGTGAACACCGAGAATCTCCATGTCTTTCTGGAGCCAAGATCGCCAAGCCAGTATCGCATATTCCAGATGCGGCCGCACTAATGGTTCATATACTTTTCCGAATATATCTGCATTCAGGTAAACAATGTTCTTCGTATGGCGCGCATGGCCGCAATTGCTCTTGCTGCGAATTTGGAGCACTGTGTTGTGACACTAAGGTCGTCTTTGTTAAGTACATCAAGGTCTCCTTTCATACTCACGGTTTCAAGAGGTTGGTCTCGCAAGATATATTGTCGTGAGAGTGCATTTCTGTGGCGCCTTGCTGATACCATTTGATTTACTACACACATTTTGGGGTTGAAGTTCATGCACCAACTCTTGCACCAAGAGTGGAGCTGGTCCTCATCCTCTTGCAGTATTTGGGAGTCCCTTTAGTCTTTTATCTCCCTCCACAGTTTGAGATCATCAGCAAAGAG